TTTTTTTTTTATTCTGGGGATTGAAGGGCCTCTTGCATGTTAAATCATGTGCTCTACCACAGCCCCTAACTTCCCAATCTGAAATAGTCACAGTGCATTATTCTATTCTAATTCTCTCCAAAACAATAGTCAATACTTGATAAGTCTTATTTGATGTTCATTTATTTAATATTTTGTCTCAAACTACTGTATGTAAATTCCATAAGAAAACAGGTTATAATATCTGTTTTGTTCACAGCTGTTAGAACAAATCTGTTTTATTTAAAAAAAAATTCTACAAATGTTTTCATTTATCAATTTCATGTAGTACAAGCTAACATACTGTCAGGAACTGCATAATGACATTTGGTCAATGATAGGCCACATGTATGATGGTCCCATAAGGTTATTACATGACCTAGTGAAGTCCAAGTCATCCTAGTTTGTGCAGATACTTTATGGTAGTCACTTGTTGAAACCATCTAACAATGCATTTCTGAGAATGCATCCCCAACCTTACACGACATGACGGTACCTGAAACTCCCAGTCAACTACCTGATACAGTCAGCACTTAAAACTTAGTACACAGGGGCTGAGGTTGTTGCTCAGTGGTAGAACACTTGCCTGGCAAGTGTGGGGCACTTGGTTGGATCCTGAGCACCACATAAAAATAAAATAACTATGTCCAACTACAACTAAAACAAAATATTTAAAATAAAAAACTTAGTAGACAAATACTACACTATCTCACTTATATGAGGAATTGAATAAAGCTGAATACACAGAAGTAGAGAAAATTATGGTCACCAGAGGTTGAAGGTGGTGATGGGGGAAGGAATGAAGAATTACTGATCAATGGGTGCAAAGTTTCAGATAAGTAAAAATAGGTTTTGAGATGGATTACACAGCAAGATGAGTACCATCAATAACAATGCATTTATATTTCAAAATAACTAAGAGAATAAATATCAAATGTTTCACCAATGACAGATGAGTTGAAGGATGTTAACTCAGCTTGACATAATTATACATACACATATATGAAAATATAACACTGTAACCCATAAATGTATAAAATCATGATATTGATCAATTATAGTATTATTTTAAAATAAACTTTTTAAAATCAGTATAATGAATGAATGTCACAGAAGTTCATTTATATATTTATCTCCAAGAGGGCAGGGCAGTTATCTAGCAGAGGATTAGGTTCATTTAGACCCTATTAATGAAATAATTAAATAGACAAAAGTTGGGAAGGGGATGTAGTGCTCAAGCACTTGACTAACATGTTTGAGGCCCTGGGCTCAATTCCCAGAACTAAATAAATAAGTAATAAAGCAACCCCACCCCCTACTTTTAATACTGGGAATTGAACCCATGGGTGATTTACCACTAAGGTACATCCCAGTCCTTTTTATTTTTTTGAGACAGGGTCTCATTAAGTTGCTCAGGCTGGCCTTAAACATTTGATCCTCCTGCCTCAGCCTCCTGAGTTGCTGGGATTATAGGCATGCACCATCATACCCAGTTAATAATACAAATTTTAAAAAATAAAATAAAATTTTTAGCTGGGTGTTGTGAGTGCACACTTGTAATCCCAGCTATTTGGGAGGCTGAGGCAGGAAGATCACAAGTTCAAGGCCAGCATGGCAACTTAGTGACACCTTGTCTCAAAATAAAAAATTTTTAAAAGCTGGGGGTATAGCTCAGTGTCAGAGCAACCCTGGGTTCACCCCTAGTACTGCAATTGATCAATCAATACATGAATATAAAATAATAGAGAAAAGTAACCAGTCCAAATAAAATTAAATTCTAAATTAGTAGATGCAAAATTTGTTAAATTTCCACATTTTCACGTAAAGATAGCAGCTCTTTCACATTACAAGTAGAAACAAATGCCCAAATTTTGTGAAAAACAGTACATATTCATTAAAAATAAAACCAAGCAATTACTTTTCTCAAGTATAATTTATTCACAGGTAGTACTTGGGCACCTTCTATGTGCCAGGTGCTATGCTAGAATAGTGCCATTTCCATAAAATAATGACTTTATTTATCTATTTATTTGTTTGTTTTATTTAACTATTTATTTATTTATCTTTGTATAATGTAGTTTAAGAATTATATGTAAAATGAAAAGTGAGAAAATTACATTTTACCATAGTACCTGTTTTAATATGAAGTGGAGGAAGAACATTCACACTGTGAGGAGGAAAAATACAAAGCAGCTGATTGGTGAAGTAGGCAGCCATGAACCGAGCCATGGCCTGGATGACTCTTAGTGCAGCCTCAGGATAGACATGTCCAGACAACACAGACTCACAGCCAGACTGGTTAGGGTCTAAGGAATACAGAAAATGCCAAAAAGTAGTAATATTTAAGTTCATTTTAAAAGAAAAAAAAGTATAATTAAAATTTTTCTGAAATGAGCACCCATGGCCTATACAAGGTAAATTATAATAGGTGTCCACACTTTTGAATAAGAACAAAATAATTATTCATGATGATAAGCAAATATGTTTACAAACTATACACAACTTTCATCATTTTATTTTTAAAATGGAGAAATTTCTATAAAATAATCTAGCTTAGATGGACTTGTAAATTTAGCACCTCATTATTTACTTTCCCTTTTTCCTCTCTTTTGTGTCTTTTGTTTGTTTGGTCTTTGTTTTTTAATGACATGAGTAGGGCTCCCTATAAAGATTAAAAAGCATCAAGTTAGGGGCTCACTGCCTTTTTTTCTATAACATTGGATCTGGGAGATACACTCCCATTAGTCACACATAATGCCGATATACAAGTATAAAGGCTTACTAGGATAAGATTCTTTTTGTAGCAAAAAGAATGTAGAGGAAAAAGAATGGAGGGGAGATGGTGGTGATAGAGGGCAGTTACATCAAATTTCTGGAGCCTAGTTGTGGTACAATACATACTCGATAAAGCACAGGGAGTTTCAATACCTGGCACCAAAAGAGAAAAAAAAGGAGAGAGAGAAAAGGTAATTTTGAATCTAGCAGAATTATGTTAATAATGGCAGCCTTAGGCAATAGAAATTAAATAATACACAATGATTTAATAAGGCAGGTGTGAAAAAGAGTTAATGTAACAGGCCTCACAGCCTGAAACACCCTTGGGTGGCACCTGGAAGCTTAGATTTTGGAAGGATTTTCAGTATGCTAAGAGTAGCTCACTGGGCATACACTGTAAAAACAATGTGGTTTTGCTGAACACCTGTTTTCCCTCTGAGAGTACTGAATACTGGTGTGTGCCACATAAGACAGGAGCTATGTGACCAGCCCTTGTTGAAACCCTGAGCAGAATCTCCAATGAGCCCTTATAGATAACATCTCACATGTGTTGTCACACTTCTCACTGAGGGAATCAGACACATCTTGTGTCACTCCACCTGAAGGAATCTTGGAAGCAAATGTCAGGTTTTCTCCAGGTCTCACTCTAGGTGTCATTTCCCCTTCTGATTTGGCTCTGAATCCTTTCACTGTATAAATCATAGCTATGAGTTTGACTGTCTCCTAAGTGCTGTGAGTCCTCCAATGAATCATCAAATCTGGGAGCAGTCGTAAGGACCCCCAACCCAGTAAGTATATGCTTACTATATTTTATTTTATTTGTTTTTTAAATTTTTTAATTTATTTTTTAGTTGTAGTTGGACACAAAACCTTTATTTTACTTATTTATTTTTATGTGGTGCTGAGGATCGAACCCAGGGCCTCACACATGCTAGGTGAGCACTCTACCACTGAACCACAACCCTAGCCCTGCTTACTATATTTTAAAGAAGTATCATTTAAAAATGAAACATCTGGGCCAGATAGTGCACGCCTGTAATCCCAGCCGCTCAGGAGGCTGAGACAGGAGGATCGTAAATTGAAAGCCAGCATCAGCAATGGCGAGGCACTAAGCAACTCAGTAAAATACAAAAAAAAGGCTGGGAATGTGGCTCAGTGGTTGAATGTCCTGAGTTTAATCCCAGGTACCAAAGAAAATAATAATAATAATAAAACAAATGAACTACTGAAGCTAAATCATGTAAAGACAACTGATGAAGAAAATGAAGATATCCAATCATTTAAAAAGCTGGGTGCAATGGTGCATGCCTATAATCCCAGCAACTCAAAGGATGAGGAAGGAGGGGCTGGGGCTGTAGCTCAGTGGTAGAGTGCTTGCCTCGAACATGTGAGGCTCTGGGTTCCAACCTCAGCATAAAAAACAAATAAATAAACAAAGATATTGTGTGTACATCTACAACTAAAAAAAAAAAAAGTGAGGAAGGAGGATCACAAGTTCAAGGCCAGCCTCAGCAACGTAGTGAGGCCCTAAGCAACTCTGTGAGACCCTGTATTAAATTAAAAAGGGGGGCTGGAGTTTTGGCTCAGTGGTAGAGCACTTGCCTGGCATGTGTAAGGCCTGGGTTAGATCCTCAGCACCACATATAAATAAATAAAATAAAATATCCATTAAAAAATAATTAAAAATGGCTGGAGATGTAGCTCAGAGATAAAGTACTACTGGGTTCTATTCCCAATACCAGAAAAAAAAAACATACACAAAAGTCTCATTCATACACAGCCAGTCAACCTTTCTAGAAGGTAACTTGACAACAGAAACAGAAAATCTTCAATTGTGACTACCCGATTCCTAAAGAAATTATGGTGTTCACAAAGATTTACATACACTAAAGCATTCTTTAAAACAGTAAATGTGTGGCAAAAGCTTAAAATGTACAATAATGGGAAAATACACACACACACACACACACACACACACACTGAAAGCCCTAAACAAAAAGGTAATACACTGTAATTTTCTTTATATTTTTTTCATATTTTCAAAATTGTTTAAATGAATGTCATAATAAACACAAATTTTTAAAATATTTTTTAGTTATAGATGGACATAATACCTTTATTTATTTATCTTTATGTGGTGCTGAGGATCAAACCCAGGACCTCACACATGCTAGGTAAGCACTCTACCATTGAGCCACAACCCCAACCCTAAACACTAAAATTTAAAAAGATATGGGGCTGTTAGTATAGTTCAATAATGGAGCATTTGCCTATCATGTGTAAGGTCATACGTTTGATCTACAGCACTGCAAATAATAATAACAACAATAATAGTAAGTATATACATAAAAACATAAGATTTCCATATTAAAAATAATATGAACTCTATTTAGAAAGATCTGATCTATTTAGAAAGTTCTGCTACTTTGGGCCTTTCAGGCACATTCATGTGTGTGCGGTATATAGCTAACAGCCGATTACCCTTTAATCATTATAAATATATTAAGTGTTCATTCATAAATATTTTCCTCTCTGCTTTCTGTTTAATTTAAATATATGGCTTTGAAAACACACAATCCAGATACTCTACAGTCTCTTACACAAATTAAAGAATACTCAGAATGCCTCAGAAAGTGATTACATGACGTTCTAAACCACTTTCAGCAACATTTAAAGAAAATATAAACATATTAAGGAAAAATACTGGATACCTGATATTGTATCTAATAAATGGGGTATAAGAGAATATTTATATCAGTTCAGCAGGCAATTATTGCTATAATGTGGAGATCTTACAATTAAAAATGAACAAAACAAAAAACTCAGTATGATCCTTGTTACTGAGAAACTGACAGTCCAAAATGTAACATAACTTATTCAATGTTGAGGCAGGAGAGTTGACATTTATGTATAAGCAATGTCTTATAGAATCCCCTAAATATGAATTAACAAGATTAAATGTATTGAGTTTTTAAAAGCATACCTGAACAATCTTCATTTTCTTTAACAGTTAGTTGGGACCATCTCAGTATTTCTCTTACTAGCTGATCACATAATCCTTGAGCATCATTTAAATTATAGCTATAAAGGTAGCAGTATAATAGAGATAGATAATAGCGTATCTGAAAAAAACAGGTCCTTCTTCCTCCTGAAACAGGAAAGAATTAAGCTTACCTTAAAAGCAAATTAACAAGAGAATGCTCTTTGTCTAGTGCTAGGCAAACAGAAGGATACAACTTGTGAAAATTCATCAAGCTGCACACTTGTAATGTATATACCCTTCAGTATCTGGTTTTTGGTCTTTCTGGGTTTTGTTGTTTGTTATTGTGGTACTGGGGATTGAATCCAGGGGAGCTCTACCACTGAGCTACAATTCCTGTCTTTTTTATTTTTTGAAACAGGGCATTGCTAAATTGCTGAGGCTGGCTTCAAATTTGTGATAACTCCTACCTCAGACTTCTGAGTAGCTGAGATAACACGTGTGCATAGTTTCAGAAAAATAACTTTTCAGTTTCATACTTCAATACTTCAGTTTTAAACTTTAATAAAAGATTTTTTTAATAACAGGTAAGCAATACTTCGTCTTTTTTCAGTTTTACTTTCTTTCATTAAGCCCTAGAATGACTAAGATTTCTTCCAAAGAGAGATGCAAATTCTCATCATCTCAGAACTCAGGTCCACAAATGACTTCTATATCAGGTACCCAGGGTATGGAATAGAAGGAAACATGTCACAATACCCCCAAAGAGCCATTCATATATCCAAGAGATAGTCAAAGAGACTTCGTAAAGGAGAAGAAACAATAAGAATAACCTAGAACATGGATGTGATGGCTAGAACTCCAACAGCCATTTATTCCATGTAATGCGTCTTAAAATTGGAAATAATGCACCAAGGATAACAGAAATACCAAAGGAGTCTGGGTTCTTTTTTTGTTTGTTTTGGGGAGGAAGGGTTACTGGGAATTATGACCCAGTGGTGCTTTACCACTGAGTTACATCCCTAGGCCTTTTTATTTTTTATTTTTGAGATAGTGTCTCACTAAGTTGATTAGGGCCTTGCTAAATTGCTGAGGCTAGCCTCAAACTTGTGATCCTCCTGCCTCAACCTGGATTACAGGTGTGTGCCAAAATGCCCGAAAAGGAACCTGTGTTCTTTTCTTCTTTACCAAAGATTGAACCTGGGGTACTTAACCACTGAGCCATATCCCCAACCCTTTTTTATATTTTATTTAGAGACAGGGTCTCGCTAAGTTGCTGAGGCTTTTTTTGAACTTGTGATCCTCCTGCTTCAGCCTCCTGAGCTGCTGAATTACAGATGTATACCATAGAGCCCAGCAAGCCTGGGTTCTTAATGGTACCCTGGGAACAGCAAATTAGCCCCATCTGCCAAATTCTGGCTTACTTTCATAAGAAAGTAGCCAGGCATGGTGACACCCACTTTAGTCCCAATTACTGAGGAGACTGAGGCAGAAGTATCACTTGAGCCTGGAAGTTCAAGGCTAACATAATGAAACTATTTAAAAAAAAAAAAAGAAAAAGAATTTTCTTATGAAGCCTCTGCCACTTTCTATATTACTAGTAGCCATTCCTAGTGGTTAAAAGTTATAAATAAAATATTCACAATAGAACTCATAATGTATGATATGTCAAGGTCATTGTACTGTCATGTATAACTAATTAAAACAAATAAAAAATTTAAAACAAAAAAAACTCATAATGAAAACTTTTTTTCATCCAGAACTGCCCATCTCTCTGAATGCTACCCTCCTTCATTCAACTGGATAATTCCTAAGTCTGAGAACTACATGAAATTTTTTCAAATGTACTGAATCACAAGTCCAGCTGATCAAACTTATTAAATATTTGTCAACTGTGACTTCCATTTCATTACCTTTGACATTGTTTTGGTTCATCTCACTAATTTCCCTGCTTCTAGGTAAAACCCACAATGTTACACCACAGTCCTACAACTGACCCTTCACAAGCTATCAAAGTGGCTTTTCTAAATGGCTTACACACATATCCTTTGATTTACCATAAGGTCACATCATGATTTGCCCTCAAATTTTCCCTCAAATTGCCCACATGTAACTTCCCATAAAACTATCCTCAGAAATATTCTGAGTCAGAAATGCACTTACAAGGGTTGGTGTGGCTCAGTGGTAGGGCATTTATCCAGCATGCATAAGGCCCTGGGTTCAACCCTGAGTATCACAAATAAATAAATAAATACATAAAATAATGCACTTATACATCCAACTCATGGAACATCACAGCTTAGCAACACAGTGCACCACAGAGCATCAGTTGTTTACCCTGTGATCACATAGCTGACTGGGAGCTGTGACTCACTGCCACTGGCCAGCATAAGGAAGAGTGTATCTTATATACCATGTACTGCCAGCCCAGAAAATATCAAAATGCAAAATCTGAAGTAAGGTTTCTACTGAAGGTATTTTACTTTAAGGTCATTGTAAAGTTGAAAAATCTTGTTATAGTAGAACTTATCCATTCATTTGAACAGGTCCCTTTCCTACAAAAAAAAAAAAAAAAAAGTCTTAACCATTCCGACTCCATGAAAGACCTTTCTCCACCATCTGTTCTCCATCACCTCTCACTGTCTTATCACCAACATCACCTATGTGTCATATAATCTAGTCCTACTAAACTACTTGTGGTTTGTCAAACTGTCTTGGTTCCTAAGGTCTTTTTTTTTTTTTTTTTTTTTTTAGACTGCTATTTCCTCTATTAAACCATCTCCACTGCCTTAACTGGCCAATTTATATTCAATTTTAAATATCAATCCCCCCAGTTTTTCTCCAGACTGTTTGTGCCCCAAACCTAGATGGTGTAAAATGGTCTTCTGTGCTCCCAGGACCTACCACACAACATAAAGAGAGAAGTTAAAAGTGGGCAATTTGAGGATAAATTTGTTTTTTATTTCAGTTATCCCTAGTCCCTTGTATAGTACTAGGCAGACAGCAGGCACAAATACATACTAATTAAATGATGGATGAATAAATGAGGCATACAAAGCCACAAGAGCCAGAAAATAAATGTAATAATTGGCCCAGCTGGTATTGGTGGTATACACCTATAATCCCAGTGACTGGGGAAAGCTGAGGCAGGAGGATCGCAAGTTCATGGCCAACCTAAGCAATTTAGCAAGGTCCTAAGCAACTTAATAAGATCCTGTTTCAAAAAATAATAATAATAATGGCAGGGGGTGCGGCTCAATGGTTAAGTGCCCAGGGTTCAATACCCAATTCCCCCACAAAAAAGGTAATAATTGGCCCAATCTGACCATGTACTAGTTGCAATCAGGGCTAGCTCCAGGCTTACCAGCTGAGAATTTCTGTTATCTCAGCCACACTCTGAGCCCTATATCATAAAAGATGTTACCAGTTTCTAGAGTTGCTTATGTTTATCAAAAACTCCATGTAAATCATATTTAACCCAACAATATATTTAACCAGCAGGACATTCTTATATCAGTTAAGGACAAGGAGGCTCAGTTCCAGGTTTCCCCAAGAAGGTGGTAAAATATTTGGTCTACAGTTTCGCATTTGGATATGTGTAGTACCTCTATACAACAACAAAAAATAAACATTATTTTATTCAGGATCCAAATCTCATTGGTCTCCATTAACAATCAACCACAGGTTTCAGCTCTAGCAACAACCAAAAACAGGACAAGAGACTTCCCAGAGGTCACTGAAAAGATTCCTAGTGGCACAAATTTCAAGACTAAAAATAATTTTAAATAAGTATTTCTGATAGTCAAGTTGACAAAACAGATGTTCTACCTGGGCATTAGGGTACTGTGAGCACTTTGAATGCTGGAATTATTTCAGAGCTCTGCAGCAAATTAATACATATTCTCACCAATATTATGGCATGTATCATTTTTTAATACCCCCCTACCTGTCTCTTGGGTTTCTTCTAGAGCTTTCTTCCACAGTTGAATAGACTTTTCATATGATCCTAACAGAAAACATTCTTCACCTAAGAAGTTTTTAACCAATAATTAGACATAGTTAATTACATTAATTTATAAAAATTTATTGTTCAAAAATTCAATAAATATATCTCAGCCAGAAAATATTTTGAACAACAAATAAATTGCAGCCAATTAAGAAACCAAAGTCCAGTTAATTATTTCATTCATTTACAGAGATAGATATTCTTTAAAAGACACTGACCATGGATTGATGTAAGTTCTAGGGCCTGGTTCAAGTGATCTCCAGCAGTCTGTAAATTAGCCTGTATATGACATAACAAGGATTTGACAGTAGATGCTTCATTTGCTATATTTTCAATTAACTGTCCGTCACCTTCAGGAATTCTTCGACTTAACTGTGCTTGATACCATAAAGTTTTTTTGTACAATATTCTCCAGAGAGCAATCAATCTGCACATAAAATTAGGTAATCATCAAAACCAAGTTTCAAACTAGTAATGAGTTTAGCTCCCTCATCTTATTTTTCTACCTGTATTCTTCACTGCTATCATAACATATATTGATCTGACTTAAATACATTATGATTAAAAATGCATAATACATATGAAAAAAATCTTAACAAAGTTTTGTGTGTCTTTGGTCACTTTTTTAATAGTACTTAACTAAGTCCAAAAAAAAAAAAAGGAGTGTGCTATATGACATTTGGCATAAATCCTAAAATATTTTTTGATAGGCAAATAAAATTATATATATCTATCAGGTATAACAAGATGTTTTTATGTACATAATAAATTTTGTATGTGTGTGTGGTGCTGGGATTGAACCCAGGGCCTTGTGCATGTGAGGCAAGCACTCTACCAACTGAGCTATATCCTAAGCCCTAAAAATATGTTAGAATTAGTACTAATAGTTTCACAATCTTATATGAAAAACCACTGAGCAGTATACTTTAAAATAATAAATTTTACAGTTTGGAAAATCTAATGGTATTTTAATAATAAATTAGATAATTATACCTGTGACTTGGTTGTTGAACAAGATTTGTTACTTGAGGATGAATCTTGAAAGATGACTTCCAAGACCAGTTTTCCTGAGAACTACTGTCTTGAAACATTTGAAAAATAGATACCACCAATGAATCTTGATCTGTTGTTCTACTTCCATCAGCTGATGCTGAAATAACTTCAGGTTGAAGCTGATATATGCCATCTAAATTGTCAGCTACCATTCTGAGTAAATAAAAGCAGGCAAAAAGTTTCTCTGAGAGTAAGTGACCCTTTTGTTGCTGAGTCAGCAAAAGCTTTATAGTATTTGAGGTCAGTTTTATCAAATGTCTCACGTCTTGCCTATATCTCATATCCCAATACTGGGTGGATAAACACTGATGAAAAAGCTGGAAGATACAAAGTACCCATGAATTATGTTTTGGAATCTTGCTTAAAAAAATACTAAGTTTTGGGAAAGGACACTTTACAAACTGAAGAATGTAGAAAAAATGGGTGATACAAACTACTGTATAATTTAACATTAAACTTTTTTCTATCACATTTTTTGAAATTCCTACAGTCCATGCTGCAAGAAGATTTTTCTGAATAGAATGCAGTTCTGTAATGGTTTTGTCTGTCTCCTTAATATCATCCTTTGCATGTATTGTATCAAACATAGATGCAAATTCCAATCTTCCCTCCTTGGCACTGATAAACAGAGGATCACTTTTTTGGCTCCAAAAAGGAAATAAGGTGTTTGGAAAGTATTTGCCTTCATTAGTTTCTTCTGCTTCAAAGTCCTAAACATAAAGGAAAAGATTACACTTAATACCATTTAAATCTTCATAAGTAGAATCACTGTGATATTCTCAAATTTCTCTTCCCTGTAACAAGTGAAAAACAAAATGTGTTTCCTGGAATATGGTCAGGATGTAATTGTTCAAAGTACCTGAAAATCTGTTTTTTCACTTAACTTTATTGTTTCTTCTGTTTGCAAAAACTTGGGGACAGTAGAATCAGCTGAACTTTCATTTCCTTGCTGTTTTAACAGGCTAGACCTTAGGGAATCCAGTGATTGCAAGTTCAATCCTTTGCCTTTTGGCTATAGATGAAAAGAGAAAAGATTTCCAAGAACAAAATTTATATTTATTCTATTATATGCAATTAAAAATTCTCTGATTGACTGTACATAAAGAACATTACTGTTAGTATAGTTTCGACTTCAAAAAGAAGGCAACATTACCAATGATACCAAAAAGCACTATACCTTAGACAACATCACACTTTGGTATGTTTTCTCAAGCCTCTGGGTTGAATCAAGTAGAAGTGATCTCATGAGCACTGAAGGAGACAGGTTATCAAGAAATCGAAGAGTTGTGATCATGTATCCATCAGAAATAATGAAGTAGGGTAACCGTGAGTGTGCTTTTATAGAAAACCTCTGTCTCATAGGGTCACTATCAGAAGCTGATGAATCTACAGTATTATTTGAATCTTGAAATGTAAAGTGCTGTGGTCTAGCAAACAAACATTAGAATTCAAGAATCAGTAAGAGAAGATCTTTTAAAACAACTATATTATTCCAAAGAAAAAGCAAAATAACATCTAAAAATTACATAATGATAAGAAAGCAAGTAGATGAAAAACACATTAAAATATTAAATGTATACATATCTGTGAAGAAAATATAACATAGTGATTAAACACTATTAAAAGTTTTTAATTTTTCCCCTGGAATTGTGCCATTTACTGTTTTGTTTTTAACAAAATACAATTTATTTCAGAAAAGAATGAAGGTAGTTTATTTTTATTACTAAAGAAAGTTAAATAGTTAACATTCTTTTATAATATATTTAAATATACTTTTAGGGATATAATTAACAGTTCTTAGTATACTTGTTATTAAAGAGGGGTAAGAAAAAGAAACTCAGATGAATGTTTAGAAAGGATAATGATGAGTAAAATTTTATCATCTTTAAATCTGAGTGAATTTCCACTTAAATATACATATATATTGATTTAATGGTATTCCTGGTTCTAATTATTTAATATCACTGCTTATTAAGTTTGAGACTTTATAAAGGAAGTGGACCGGAGTTGAGCGCTTGCCCAGCACGTGTGAGGCACTGAGTTTGATCCCCAGCACCAGATAAAAATAAACAAATAAACTGATAAGAACATAAAAATAAAATAAAATGTTGTGTCTACCAAAAACTGAAAAATAAATATTAAAAAATTTAAAAATTAAAAAATAAAATAAACAAATAAAATGAAGGTATTGTGTCCATCTACAACTCTCTCTCTCTC